AGATGGCTCAAGAAGTGTACACTGTCACTAAGTGATGTTCTCTACAGATGTTCTCCCCAACAGCTCGCTGCTTCCAATTGCATGGAAAGATCGAGGTGGAAAACGAGGTCTACACTGTCGGTTGTTACGAGGTTTGTTGGATTGTAATGTTGGGGGGGATGAAGACGCTAAAGAAATTTGCTGAGTGATCTCACCTTGAAGAAGAAACAAATTATTCCAAAAAAAGTGTTTTCAACTGATTTAATGCACGCGGCTGTGTCAACAACCAATGCTATAGTTTGACGAGTTCGGTTTTCATTCCCGTCCATAAGTGCATGATCATACTGAAATTGTAAGTTAACAAATCTCAAATCAAATAAATCTCATTATCCCTCTGTTCAAGTTTGGGATTCCAAATGGTTTTTTCATGAGAACCTTTCGAAGCGAACTTCATTCGAGTCGTACATTTTTCCTTGCCCTGAGGGCTGACCGACCGATATCTTCACCTTTACTAAAGAGAAGTAAAGCCCTGACTTCTGCATTTCAGACCATATGTAAGAATAATATTCTCATGATTAGGGTTCGAAATTCGAAGTTTTATCCGTGCTACCAACAAGGGCAAGTAATTGACGTCGAAGAGGTACTGAAAATCTGTCATTTTGATTTTGTAGCATAATCACTGTACAATAATCTTCTGTTCCAAACCACTTTTGAAGTCCTTCTATGATGGTCCTAACAAACAGTATCTACAGAATGACATACGTCATGCGTAATTAAAACCTTCTTTAGAAGAAAGAGCGTGAGCAACTGGTTCAGCTCGATTTCTTCTTTGATTTAGGGTTCATACAATAGCGGCACTGTAAAACTCCGAATCGTCTGCCCATCTTGCTCAGAACTCTGCGGTCATCAATATTGCACAACAGATAAATTTGTTGAAGAAAAGCTCCTTCATCTGACAAGTGCAGGCATAATGCAAAGAACCCAGTCCGTTCTAGTAGCACTATTGGCATTATCCTTAATCAGTTGACAAAGCAAAGTGAATTCAAAATTGGCTAAAGAACTGTCCGATGTTTATTTTTTGCTGATGAGCTAAAGAGAAAACTTAGAAGCCCATATCGAAGAATGTTAATAATGTGTATCAACATACTTTTGTGTTTTGTCTGATTGTTTTGTATTCTTGCTGTTCTATAGAAAGCGAGTTTGTTTAAATCTACTATTTCCATTTGTTTGCAGAGCAAAAAAAGTGCGAATACATTTTCTGTGAAACAGTCGCATGGCCGATCGGCTACGCTGGGCTGTCCCTCTTCCAGCGCTGAACTAGGAATATCTCACTAACTCCCGGCGCTTCTCCTTTCTCGTTTAGTTCTGAAGGAGTAATAGCGGTATTGATCAATACTCTTTTCGTAGCATTATCTTTCTAATCCGATATGCTCGGGCTTTCCAGCAGCTCTACCATGCAGAAGGCTTAGTTGTGAACTCTAATATTGTGTCATGACAGGGCACTGTTGTACGCGCCATGCCTCCGTACTGCTTTTAAGTTTGAAACGTCCTACGTTTGACTCAAGCGAACGTTCGACCTAGCAAGCTTTGAGTACTCCATCGGATTGGCCTGCACCAATACACAGTAAGTCCCGCTCCAGCTGCTGTTCCCACTACAGCTGAAAAGTTTCAGGGTCAGAGGACGTGGCGCTCTACTCAACAGTTGCAAAATAAATAGTTGACAGGATGAGGACTTTGAAGGAATGGATCATAACAAAAAGTGATAGCGACTGAAAGGGGCTGATAGTGAGCCCCAGAACCTTCCAAATTTTCGGTCACTAATCAGGTTGTTCAGTGCACCAGTAGACCCAGTGAGAAGAATCGTCGGATGTTAAGAGAGTACTTATGGTTAAGATTAAGAGGAACAGTTAGACATTACATAGACGTGAGAGAGAGATGTATGCGTCCCGTGTTCCTGAGTACAGGAGCAACCCACTTTAAAAGTTCTAAGGAAGTTCAAGAAGTCAGAAATGAGTATTCTGTTGCGAAATGAGGAAAGGATGGGCAACAGTACGTCCCATCTTTGCAAAAGGAAGGAGAGGTACCTGCTGTAAACCGATCCGACTGCCTGAGCTATAGTAATCTTATTTAGGCTACCTGGTTAGTCAATCACACTACAACTTGGTACTAATTGGTATGGGCTGATCAAACCTGCTAGTGCAAGGTATATATCTATTTATGGTCTATGCTGCACTAGCGCCTTCGCAACAGAGTTTCCTTATTGTTGACACCTTTGCTAGAGGTGGGACCAGGCACCCATGTTCTATAGGAATATCATGTCCCTAATCGTAGCTATAGGCTTTAGGAACAAAAAAAAANAAAAAAAAACAAAAAACAAACCGGGAAGGCTTAAGTCAATGAACAAACATGCAATGTTACGTGTTCCAATAGTATACAGATAAGGGGACGTTGCAATGGCGCCAAATGCAAAGGTGCTGATGGGCGGTGGCACGACTTGACCTAACCCACGGGCTAGGTGTGCGCGAAATGAGTGTTCAACCGAACGTTCATACTTTTTTTCCACGTAGACTTAAAGATTTACGCAGACCTAAAGAGTTCGAATTGGATAAGGACACAGGTTTAGGATAGGTGCACTGACAGTAGGTGAAGCCCCTTGCGTTAACAGTGAAACCTCGGCACAGTGGTGGTCGACGCCAATCTCTTCCTGGAGTCGCGTAGGAAGATAAAAAACATGATTAGTACATCGGTTGACCATTACAGGTCATTTCTAAGGCAACCTACGCGTTCAAAACCACACTACGATTCTGAACCAAAATTGAATGAGTGGCTTATGTCAAATATGGAATTAACTGGCCATGAGAGTCTTATTCTTTTTATCTGTTTTTCCCTTGTTTTTCGCGTGTATCTCGAAGCTCTTGATACTCCAATCTGATGGTTAGCTTTCGGCATATAATTCCTTCTACAGACCTTAACTTTACAATACATAGTTGCAAACAATCAGTCAACAATCAGTTACTACATAGCACACATCGGATCTTATCAAACCAACCGGAAATATTGGGGAAGAGGGGAGTGAACCTCTTGGCGGGGAACTTGAAAGAGAAATGGAACACCGCTCTTCTCCTGAGGCGACGGGGTGTTGTCATTTAATCATCTTCAAGCAATTTTTTGCTTCGACAATAAGTTTCAAATACAAGCAAAACGACGCTCTGAAATGGGTAGTCGTATAGCACCTGTGTTAGAGTGATCTTCTTGGACCACATCGAGAAGTCATCATTAACAAGTGGAATCATGTTCTGCAGAAGTTATATCGATGACGTATTCATTAATGAAACAACAGAAGAAGACCTTGTGGATACACTGAAAACTGAATTTTCACAATGCCGAAAAGTCTTCACAAGGGAAATTTCCTAGGGAAATGGGTTTCTACCATACTCAAGTAAAGGTGCGGATTAGTGAAGGTCACAAGGAACACCTGTGGTATCGAAAAGTGCTTCGACGGAGATCTCGTTGCATTCCAGAGGCACACATCCTGTTTATATGAAGGCAAACGACGTGCGGAACCCTCCGAAAACGAAATGGGAGCTTGGAACAACCATGGAATTTTGCTGTTATTGCTAAAGCGGGAAGTATTCTTAGTAGTAATGGTACTTTGAAGGCAATACGAGGACCTGTTTTCCATACAGAACGGCCGACGGTTAGAGCCTTATTCTGCTTTTCTTTAATGGAAAAAATTACATGTGACATTTTTTCCATTAACGAAAAGCAGAATGGTGTTGAAGAATTTCCAGCCTGCTATTCGACTAGTTTTCCGACCTCCTCCTACGTTGAAGGACCTCCTGACATCTTCTCAAATCTACGAAAAACGATGCCGCGAGCAGTTCTGTCGCTTCTGTACATCTGAGTAGATCGAGGAGGATGTGGAGAGAAGTTCGTGGGGGAGATCGCGAGACCCTTGAAGATCCGCCTGGGCGAACATAGAAGAGCATTGGCCAATCCCGCTGCCTACCCAAACAGCAGCTTTCCCAGACACTTTCCCAAAAATTTATGCAAAACCCTCACATCGAAAGATGTAGCGTTCTCCAAATGCACTCAAGCAAGAGAAGGAGAACGCTCCATCTTTTGATGTGAGGGTTTTGCATAAATTTTTGAGTACGGCCCCTGGAAAAGAAAATCATGGAAGCATCAAGCCGGAAATCATCGCAAAGGAGGATATGCGTAACCTCCTGAAACTGATTGAAAATAATACTCCGTCTCCTCAGGAGAAAAGCGGTGTCCCATTTCTCTTAGTGTTCTCCGCCAATAGTTCCATCCCCCTCTTCCCCAATATAATATTTCCGGTTGGTTTGATACGATCCTATGTGTTCTATGTAGTAACTGATTATTGACTGATTGTTTGCAACTATATATTGTAAAGTTAGGGCAGTATATGCCGAAAGCTAACCAATAAAGTGGAGTATCAAGAGCTCCGAAAATATACACGAAAAACAAGTTGGAATGAAGTTCAGAGACAGCAACATTTTGGAATGTTTTCCCCATGTTCAAATAGTTTCAAAGCATAAAAACACCTTTCATTTCACATCAGAACAGCACAACACAGAATTCACGGTAGTGATAAATACCAGCCTTCAGACGAGGTAAAATCAGCGCACCTATCAATTTCCTCCATACGCTTTGAACGTACAGGATGGATGGGAAGAGACTTCTTCATACAAAATCAAGTAATCGAGATAAATCTGTTTTACTATAATTTATTAAATCCTGGATGTCATTAAATGAGAAGGACATTGATTCAGTGATGAGAGGAAGCTGACAAAATGTTAGAGAAAAGAAAGAATTCCTGCAGTCGAGGCCACACCGAATCGTACTCGTCTCCTACCAATGAATTCGTGTTCCTTTTAAAATAGGGCATCAGTTTGATAACTATTTAACAATCGCTCTTAAGTCGTATAAGAAAAGGTAAAATACTCGTATAACATAGTCATGTAAAGTATTAGATTGAAGCAACCGTGCATTTTTTTTCAGAATCCCAGTGCATTCAAGGCGAAAAACTCTTGGGGGAAGGGGTTACTTTCGGTTATGAGCTGATAAATCTGAAACTTGGCAACTTTAAGCATCCAGCAAAGCGTGAGATGACCTACAAAAATTCCGAATCAAATGCCATTTACCATGGTTTCTGACTGCTTTGTTGTAGTAGCATGTTGACCTTCAGCACTGATCGACTGCGAAGGTTTTGCTCCTTCCGTGCTGAAATAGCTTCCAATATTACAGTGAAGTCTACTTCCACGGTATCCTGTTTCTACGAATGTTCCTACGTCTCTTTCGAAAGAAAAAAATGACGCACCTTGATGCAGACCAGGCTCCTTTTTTCTTTTCAAAAGACTCTCTGTGTTCCTCATTTTTTCCTCGAATTTCCCAGTCGTATGGGTCCGAATACCTATACCTATACTTTCAAGTGATCTATCTCATCCTGTACATGAGCTTGAAAAGGTGAACTTTTAACGTGTGTATTATTTGCGTTTCACATTGAGAAGGGTTCACGCCAACTTTCAAACCATAACAGTAGAAAGCAAATACTTCATTTGCGGAAATTATTCTCTACTGACAGAGGTTTATACTTTGCCGCACGGGTTGCAGTTCCATATAAATATTATTGATTACCTGAACTTTCCCGCTCTCATGACGTCAACCAGCAGTTCATAAAGGAGCAAGTAATCAGGGCGCATATAGTAATTCAATGTACTGAAAATTTGTTTTCAGAATGGCTTCAAAAATCCACTCGCGAGAAAAAAGGCTGGTCAAAAAAACGATAGTGGTAAAGGCGACTGGTTTGATGGCCAACTTCAGCTACTTTATTGTTTTTTCTGTCCGAAAGTAAAGCCATTAAGATGTATCAGCAGACTAGGGAACATACCAGGCGTCGAATGATTTTCCATTGGGCCGTCTCTTCCGCAACTGTCGTAAGGAATTATATGTACTAGTGGAATACTTGTAATACTTATTCTGTTTTTTCCTGACTCTAACTCTTTTCGAAGCTTTTTCTTGGGGTTGAATATACCGAACTCCCAGCTGATGAAACTCTACGTGATGTACATTAGAAAACTGGAAAATCTGCTCATTGAACCTCCCCCTCGGATCTTTAGTGATATTTTGCTTGCTTCTGACATAGCCTATGCTCTGTACGAGTGTTGTGGCCGGCTTAATTTTTGGTGGGAATTCCAACTTCACGTGACCTTAAATACGTACCGTCTGCATCTCCCTTTTCACACAGCAACACAGGCTTCCTTCCACGACATGGGCGGTTTGCATTCCGACAGGTACCGCTTCAGATGTACTGACCTTGTTGGGACCGGGCGCCGTACAATTCTTCATCGACATAATAGTTGGGAGAGCCGAGGGGGCGACGCAACCGCCCTGCCTATGACGGAAGGTAAGCAAGTAGACGTAAATGTCGAAGAGATCCGGATAGAGGTCGTCGATGACCTTCCTCATTTCCCATCGAAGTGAATAAGTATTTCGTCAGTGCGACGAAGGGAAAACAATTTCGTAATGTAATTGACAAAACTCCGGCAAGCTTTGCGAATGTTTCTCCAAGCCTAAGCGGTTTCTGCTAGATGGCTGCTCCTTTCTTTTTGACACCATCCTTCATGGCCTCACTGCATAACTAGGCAAGTTTGGACGTTTGCTGATGACTGCCTGTAGCTCAACAGACTTTGACAAGAGCCGTCCCTCCGCTACTTTTGGACTCTGTGCTTTCCCAGCAATGTCGTGAAGATGTTCGACGAGCTAACTGTATTGTATTATTTCGATGTTGTCGATGTCGGAACCTTCCCATACTCGCAAGGTGAGCGAAGTGGTCCCAGTTCATGGACGTCATGGGGCTTTGTTTCTTGAGCTTCCAAGACCTCTTTCCACATTCGAAACAAAATTGAAAGGCGTCTCTCTACATTATAAAACGGAATTTAGCCCAGAAGAAGATGATCCTATCTTTGTAGGACTGCAAGACAACACTTTCGGTTGAAGACGATGTGATCTAATCTATCACCGAACTGACTACCAGATAACGCCGAAATAATCGAAATTGAGAAGGCTTTCCATTTCATGAGTCACGATGTGAAGTTTTTCAGCCGTCCTTCTGGGTTCAATCTTGCTGCTGGAATCACCGTCGATGGCCTTGAAGAGAGTATGATCCTCTCTGTAGAGCTTCTATATATCCATAAAGAATGCTTCCAGCTCTTCTCGTCGTAGATCGATGTTTGTGCGTAGGTGACGAGATTGTTAGAACTGAGGTTGAAGCGCATCTTCTTAATCGTTAGCGTCTGATTCGGGTTGTCATCTTTTGGTACGAATCCATTTTCATGGCTAAGAGCGTATCGATGAAGACCCCTAAGCCGCAGACGTCTCTAGCGGCCCGACTGAACGTTGCCATACTGGGGTCTTCATCAGTTCCAGGAGAGTGAGGCTCATCTATATCTGCTTTTGGCATATGCGTACCCACAAGTAGCTCGCCATGCTTCAACGTGGAGCTCGGTTGACTGCTGGGGGCCAGTCAGGCTATGTCGAAGTGGACGAAGGGCTTCGTTTTCAAAGGCGGCCCGAATCGACTCCCAGATACTTTACTTCCCAGTTACTCGGATGCAAGCTTTTGGCTTAGTCGATGGGCAGGATACCAATTGCACCCACAGACTCTCCACACACTTATGCGTGGATAGCCTGCGAGAAACAGGAGGTATATCGATCAGCACAGCAGAATCAGGGAGTCCATCCACCTGCGCCTCTGGACAAGTACTGGCGACTTTTGGTCGGCGATCAACTCCCCTATCTGGGGACGTCCTACGTTGCCCAGTCTCGAACCGGAGAGAGATCCCTCAGTGAGAAAGAACGTACAGTGAAGGAGATCCGTAGGAATTTGTTACACACGGGTAAATTGTTCATTCGGACATAAGAGTAAAATTGTGTGTTTCAAACAAATTTTTTCCAAATTTCTGAAGTATCACTTTGAGTGTGCCAAGCTCATTCAAACCGATGCCTCAGAATGATGAGCCAAGCTCAAAGGATTGATCAAATACAGGGGATTATTAGAAGGTGGTAGAAGTAGTAAATTTACAGCGAGGAACAGAAGAAAAACTAATTCGCGTTTCACGCTGAACATTCATCAATTATTCACATCGAATACATATTTCTACATCTCATTGTCCTACTTAACCTGTAACCACTTTCACAATATTCTAGTGTGTTTCCAACAGGAATACTGAAGGTTTTACCCCAAGAATTGAAGAAGATCGAAAAAAGGTCGAATTTGGCGTGAAGGAAGATATAGGATAGCCCGATTTTCGAGATTCTCAAACGTACCTCAGATGTTCCGCGAACTTGATAAGTTGAACAGGGCAATTCTCCAAAACGACATCGATATCCGTTCGACGTTTTATTTCATATACTTCTCTCTTGTCGCTTAATGTTTAACTGATGAGAAATATTTTTGTTTGACGAAACTTTTATCATAAATATGTTAAAAACGTGATGAAGTTATTCTTTCAACAGTCTCACAACATCAATAGCATCAACATCGAAGCAAACAGATTTGATCAAGCCCTCTTCGTGGGACAAATTTTGAACTAGGCGAACTACAGCCGATTGACTATCACTACCAACTGATGGATTGAATAACTCCATTGCAAGATGGAGGAAATGAAAGGAAAGACGCGGTGGCTCAGATTGTTTCAGAACCTTGTAATGAACTGCGACCTTGTCTACTGATAGTTTGAACTTTGGAAATTGATATTCTTTCTCGATATTTGAGCCGAAATCTGAATTCATTTGAACCACTGAGTGAAGATTTTCAAATAGGTTACTATAGTAAGTCAGAAATGTTAAGCTTGTTTGGCTCATATATTATGCATTTATATTAACTAGAATTGCAACGAAGGCATGGGTGAGCGTTTACTCATATTAGTATTATTATATTCCACTGGAAAGTAATAAGACCGCTGTGATAGTTTCCTCTGATCGCGTCGGATGGGGCGATGTACTCATTTCTTCGATTGACGTTATCACATACTCGAATAGTACTGATCAACATACCTACAGCGATCACATGCATGGAAACATGCATATCGTTGAATACCTCTTCGATCATTGCTGAAGCTGGATAACTAATAAAATTTTTTGGTGCACCAAGGGAGTAATGTTCGGAAGGGGACGAATGACGTTGCGGATAATATAGGATTTCTATTTACCGTGAGCGTTTCTCTGATGCACTCTCTGTAAAGCCCTGGGGATCGCGAAGAAACTGCTTCGGGACTTAGTTGTGCTTCTTGTAGAGTTTGCTCCAAGAAATTTCATGCAACTCATAGTTCTTATTCCAAAGAAATGTGATCGTTCATGGTAGATGAATGAACCCACGACGTTGCAGTGGGCATGGATTGCACCATAAAAATTTGAACCAAGTGAAACAACAAGACTACCTAGCATTTGCCCATGGTAAAGGGCCGCGAAGTTCTGCTAACATGTACAGCAGACACCATAGATCATCCATTCTGCCCTGTTCAGCTTTTTCGTGCGTAGAGACTGAGCAATATCGCGTAGTTCCTCTGAAAAACTTTTACAGAGCAGGTAGAATAACATTTTGCTGAATATGATAGAGCATTCTTGGTGTATCTACCGAAAACTTCGCTTTTGTCCGAATTTTCCCCATGTGATTTCCCAGAGTTTCCTTGGAAATATTTATTACCCAATGACCCGTCCGATTGCGCACAACATATATGAGCCACACCCTTATTTCACCCTAACGCTGCGGAACGGTCTCCCATATTTGACTCGTACTGCTTGAAAGTTCGAACCCCGCTGCCAAAGCCTGTTGGAACTTATGACAGCTATTCGACGCTGAAGCTTCTTTTGATCCATAACTCCAACCCTACCATGCCCTAAAAGAAAGTTGAAGATTAACTGCTCTCTGATCGATAGACTGTGATATCGTTCAACGAGCTGAACAAGCTGACGCATTCAAGGCAATCAACGTCTACGCTAATTTTCTAGGGGAAATTTCAGAATATTCAGAACAATGCCAAGTCTTGCGAAATTTTCGGCCAATGTCTCAATATTTCCATAATGGTTACTCTACCAAATGAAAGCATGGGCAACGTAAGCAGCTAGAAAGTTCAAAGAGACGCAAAATAAGACAATCACCCTGTCACTTGCGAATTCTGACAGTTGCGAACTGGCTAGAAATCACGAGACGAACCGCTTGGTCACCATTCACACTGGAGTTTCACCCCGACATGAGCCGCGCGACCCTACTTCAAAACAGCGCTTGCCTTGAGAACGTAAAAACCTTTGAGTTGCTTCATTATTTTGAAAAGGGAATAGGCAAATCCCAGTTGAACAATTTGCTGTCTACGTGACAGCACATGAATATTCTATTTGAAGTACTACAAAAACAAAAATCTAGGCACTTCATTTTTCTCTTCGCTGCCTGTTTTTCATAGCTCCAAAAAATTTTTCCGTTTCACATGTTGTATAAGAGGGTCTGTGAGATCGCCTAACAATGATTATATCATGATTAGAGAACTTCCTGGTACCAGGAGATGTATTACCAGATTAGAGAAAGAGATGGAGGAAATGTGGTGGAACAGCGACAGGGAAATAGTAAAATGCGAAATCGCTTCATCGACTCTCCCTCTCAGTGTTTCTCTGTACAGAGTGCGCCATGAATATGATAACGAAATGG